ATTCAGAAAATATAGTTCCATAGGTGGAACAAGGCACACCTATTACTACATTGAGACGGTCCTCCAAAGTCTCCAAACCTACTCAGTGTTTTTCGCATTCTTTACACTATTTGTTGTTGTCTGATGGTGGTGAACCAAAGAGTTATGATGAAGCAGTGCAGGTTGGTGATTCAACCAAGTGGGAGTTAGCTATGCAGGATAAGATAGACTCACTCATGTCAAATCAGACATGGGAGCTAACTGAACTACCAAAGGGCAAGAAGGTTTTACATAACAAGTGGGTTTATAGAATCAAGGAAAAACATGATGGCAACAAGCGTTACAAAGCTAGATTGGTTGTGAAGGGATTTCAGCAAAAGCATGGTGTTGACTTGTGATACCCCTCGATTCTAGAGCCACGGGTGATCAAGTCTGAGCACAGATCCGAGAGATATCAAACAATTAATATTTAAACAAGCATTTGAATACAAAAAGAATAATAAATAAATAAATAAATAATAAGCTGAAGAAAACTAAATAATAAATCCCTATTTTAAATATCCTCAAATAAATAATAATTAAAAATCCCATAATAGAATCCTTCAATCCTCTGATACCAATAGTTAATTAAACTACAACTCAGGAATCCATAATGTGGACCCCTAATAATATCCCAACTGACATGACTGAACTGAAAAAAAAACTAATAACTAAACCATGTAGAAGAGTCCTACGTAGAGTCGGAAGAGTGAATGACTGTCTCTGATCGGCACGAATAATCTCTAAGACTGGAACTGACGAACACCTGAAAAATAATGGTGGGTCAGATCCACATACAAGTTCTAATCTACTACATCCCAAACAGAGACCCGATACACAGACACATCCTAATTAATTCAACAATAACTAAATAGTCTATATATAGATATATACACACTAAAGGAACCTCACTAGATTATAGAGTTGTCTCAACCTGAATAGTAGGCAACATGCAAAAACGCATATATAGTGGGCATGAGTACCTAGACCTACCAGGGTACACAACTACACTATATCTAGCTACACATCCCTGGCAATATACGTATCCTAACCACTGATCCTGAGATTCAAGCTCATACCATAGCGCATAATTATATATGTAAAAATTCGTCCTAATCCAACTATCAAAAATAAACTATCCAATTATTATTTTAATAAAATGTCATCCAACTATTCCGTTGACTTGACACGAATAAGTAGGACTTAACACTGTGGTTAATCCGTTCTCTTATTAAAAATAGGTAGGACTTAACTTTTAAGTTAATCCGTCCCTAATATGCCCCCATCCCTTAATGGTGCATTAATCCATATCATAATCAAATAAAAGTTTCCAATCCAAGAATAATGTAAATAATATTTACATTTAATAATCCAAATAAACATGATATAAATCATAAACACATTCTTTGCATTTACTTGATTAAAAATATCAATTCTAAATAGTATACATTTAATTTACATCACAAGAAATTAACATGCATATCAACTAAATTGTACATCTCTATGTTTTGATTAAATTAATTTAAATTTAAATAATTGATTAAAAATAATTTAATCCAGCAATATTTAATTAATTTATCATTTTAAAAATTAATTAAATTCCATACTTATCATGCAAACTTAAATTATGCATTCCCATTTTTTTTAATGAAACTATTTCATTAAATAAATATTTAATACTCAACCCAAAAACCAAAATACTTGTTTAATATTCCAACAATTTAAAAAATTACTTAATCCCATTAAACAGTATTTGCTAATCAATTTAATCCCATTAAATTGATTGTTATTATTCCTTCCTCATTCGGCGTGCATTGAATAAAGTGAATTCTTATAAACTGATGGCCAATTCTTTCTAAACTAATGCTTACCTAGATAATTAATCTATTCCATTAACAAATTGATGCCTTTTCAAAGCCTTGTTCGGCGTGTGTGAAAAAAACACAAATTTGACTTCGTACATGTACACAACACAATCTAGTTCATGGTAACAGTAATTCTTTGATCGGCGTGCATGAACAAACATAAAATTTGATTTTATCTAACATGTATAAATTGTTCCATGGTAAAAGAAATCCCCTTGTTCGGCGCGCACACTATAAATCAAATTTAATTTCATCTAAAATATACAAACCTAAACACACAATGTATTACAACACATGATTAAAAGCCAGGGATGTGTAACTAGATATAGCGTAGTTGTGTACCCTGGTAGGTCTAGGTACTCATACTCACTATATGTGCGTTTTGCATGTTGCCTACTATTCAGGTTGAGACAACTCTATAGTCTAATAAGGTTCCTTTAGTGTGTGTGTATATCTATATATGGACTATTTAGTTATTGTTGAATTAATTAGGATGTGTATGTGTACCGGGTCTCTGTTTGGGATGTAGTAGGTTAGAACTTGTATGTGGGCCTGACCCATCATTATTTTTCAGGTGTTCGTCAGTTCCAGTCTTAGAGATTATTCGTGCCGAGCAGAGACAGTCATTCACTCTTCCGACTCTACGTAGGACTCTTCTATATGGTTTAATTATTAGTTTTTATTTCAGTTCAGTTATGTCAGTTAGGATATTATTAGGGGTCCACATTATGGATTCCCGAGTTATAGTTTAATTAACTATTGGTATCAGAGGATTGAAGGATTCTATTATGGGATTTTTAATTATTATTTATTTGAGAATTTTTAAAATAGGGATTTATTATTTAGTTTCCTTCAGCTTATTATTTATTTATTTCTTTATTATTCTTTTTGTATTCAAGCTTATTTAAATATTAATTGTTTAATATCCCTTGTATTCTGTGCTCGGACTTGATCACCCGTGACTCTAGAATCGAGGGGTATCAAATGACTATACTGAGATTTTCTCCCCGGTTGTGAAGTTGACTACAATCAGATTGGTGCTTGGAATTGTGGCTGCAGAAAATTTGCATTTAAAGCAGTTAGATGTGAAGACTTCCTTTCTACGTGGTGATTTAGAGGAAGATATCTATATGAGATAGCCATAGGGATTCACAGTGCCAGAAAAGTAGGTTTGGTATGCAAGCTGAAAAAGAGCTTGTATGGTTTGAAGTAGGCCCCCAGACAGTGGTATAAGAAGTTTGATGGATTCATGTACAGTAATGGTTTCACGAGATGTTATGCAGATCATTGTTGTTATGTTAAGAGGTTTGACAATAGCTACATTATCTTACTATTGTATGTTAATGATATGTTGGTTGTTGGGTCGAGTCTCGAGAAGATTAAAAATCTGAAGAAACAATTTTCTGTGCATTTTGCGATGAAAGATTTGGGTGAAGCAAAATAGATTCTTGGTATAAGGATTTGCAGAGACAGAGTGGGTGGTACTCTGAAGCTGTCACAAATAGAGTATGTTAAAAAGGTTCTCAGCAGGTTCAACATGCAAGATGCAAAATCGGTGACCACCCCATTAGCTAGTCATTTCAGACTAACTAAGGAACAGTCACCCATGACAGAGGAAGAACGAGCATACATGGAAGGAGTTCCATATGCCTCAGCTATTGGTAGCATAATGTATGTCATGGTTTGTACCAGACCGAACATAGCACATGCAGTGGGAGTTGTGAGCAGGTACATGAGTAATCCAGGCAAACATCATTGGGAGGCGGTAAAATGGATCCTTAGATACTTGAAGAGTACTACAAAAACATCATTATGTTTTACTGGGAAAGGGGTTGCATTGCATGGTTATGTTGATTCAGACTTGGCTGGTGATATGGATAATAGGAAGAATACTAAGGGGTATGTGTATACTTTGGGTGGTATAACAGTGAGTTGGGTCTCTCAGTTGCAGAAGATTGTGGCTCTATCGATTACATAAGCTGAATATGTTGCAATTACAGAAGCTAGCAAGGAGATGATTTGGTTGCAGGGTTTTTTTGGAGGAATTGGGTAAAGAGCAAGATAATATTATTTTGTACAGTGATAATCAGAGTGCTATTCATCTTACTAAGAATTCAGCGTTCCATTCCAGAACAAAGCATATACATTTGAGGTACCATTTCATACGCTTACATTTAGAGGATAAAGTTTTATCACTTGAAAAGATCCATGGGAGTAAAAATCCAGCAGATATGTTAACCAAAGCAATGACAATTGAGAAACTGACGCTTTGTTTAGCTTTAGTTGGTGTTCAAGCTTGAGAACAAAGGAATGAGTTGCTGTGATGTTTTGCTATGTATGAAGGTATATGGGAGTTGACAGTTTGATATTTATCAGTCTCCAAGTGGGAGATTGATGGGTAGTGTGGAGCCTGATTTTAGAGGGTATTTTGGTTATTTCTGCATTTGCTATGTTGCCCTAGTGCGAGGGTATTTATTCATTCTGAACTCTCTGTATTTGTAGCCGTTTTTTTATCATTATAGTGAAATCCTTGCAACCCTTGGACTTAACGCTTGAACTAAGTAAAATCTGTGTGTTCTTGTCGTGTGTGTGTGTTTGATCTATTTTTTGTGTTTTCTGTTTGATTTTTTCGCAACATATATATATTCTTTTTTTTCTCTTCTCGGCCAAAAATTGGTCACACCCCACCATCAGCTCTTTGGTCACTCTCAAAAAAGAATTGCACGAAAAAACCAAAAAAAAAAAAAAAACTAGTGGTGAAAATAATAAAATGTTTCTAACTTGTTTTAAAAATAAGAGAAGAAGAAAAGGCAAATAAAGAGAAGAAAATAAACCAGTGAATCTATTATGTTTCAAAAATAAAAACATAAAGGATCCTATTATGTTTTTGAATTTTCAAGAGATAGGTTGGTATTCATTTTCCATCTTTATTTTGCTATGATTAGAGAAACAATATAATTGATTAACAAACTACAAATTTACATAATTTTTCAAAAATAAAATAAATTTTTGTTATGAAAAATTAATTTCTCACAAAAATGTTATTTTTTATACCGTATAAACTCTTCAATATTTTATTAAAAAAAACAATTTTCACCTAAAGAAACCATTTTCTTATTTCCTACTCCCATCTAAACTAAACAAAGGCACTATCTATGAGAAATTATTGGGAAAATTGGAGAGAGAACCAAAACTATACGAAAGAAACAGAGCTCTCACGCAAGTACATTTGTTACCTATGTGTATTCGTTATTTTTTAATAGGCCTGCAATGTGCTTGAAGAATGTCCTCTATGAAAACTGGTTTTCAGAGACACGATTGATTTAGAATACATTATCACCGTTGTCAATTTGTACTCGACCACCAGCGAAAACCGAGCTAGCTTATCTTCCCACTTCCCACTTCCCACAAAACCAAATCTCAAAGTCCGTCAATGGCGTCCCAAGTCATCAAAAAGTTACCATTCATACTCTCCACAAAAGGCCCTTCAATGGCCGTCGTGCGCTCGAAAACGACCTCGTCCCAGTACGTAGCATCCAACCCCACATTTGAGAAACTCATGGACAATTACAAGAACCTCCTCAAAGTGATCGCCATTCAAGGCCTCATCCTCACAAACCGCAGCAACAACCCACCGTCCGTGTCCCTTGAATTCCTGAATAGACTCTCTCAAAAGCTCCATCTCAACCGCGGCGCAGCCGCCTTCCTTCGCAAGTACCCTCACATTTTCGACATTTTCTATGAGCAAAAGAAGTCCCAACCTTTCTGCAGATTGACTAACAGTTCTACTCAAATTTGCCGCCAAGAAGCCGCCGCCATAACAGAGTCCTTGCCACTTGTCGTGGATCGTCTGGTTCGGATTCTCTCCATGTCGGCCTCTAAGTCGCTGCCACTTCGAGCAATTTTCAAGGTCTGGAGGGAGTTCGGACTCCCTGATGATTTCGAGGACTCGGTAATATCCAAAAACCCTCATCTTTTTAAGCTTTGTGATGCCCATGAACCTAATACTCATATATTAAAACTTGTTGGTGCAATTCCCAGTAATAATTTTGTGGCTTCGGCTGAGAATTGGAGGATTACAGAGTGTTGTAAGGAGGATTCTATTGTTGATAGGACTGAAATGCAGTTCACTTTTAAACATGGGTTTCCACCAGGAATGAGGTTGAGTAAGAATTTTAGAGCCAAAGTTAAGGAGTGGCAGAGATTGCCGTATGTTGGGCCATATGAGGATGTGGGAGAGAAGAAGAGATCTAAGAGTGGAATAATGGCATTAGAGAAACGGACAGTTGGGATTGTGCATGAGTTCTTAAGTTTGCCTGTAGAGAAGACGGTGGAGGTGGAGAAGATTAGTCATTTTAGGAACTGTTTCGGGATTGATTTGAACATACGGGATTTGTTCTTGGATCACCCTGGGATATTTTACTTGTCAACCAAGGGGAAGAGACATACTGTTTTTTCTGAGAGAAGCATATGAGAAGGGGTGCTTGATTGAACCGAATCCGGTTTACAATGTGAGGAGGAAGCTTCTCGATCTTGTTCTTATGGGGCATCGTGGTTTGTTTAACAGTGATTCTAGATCAAGGGATATTGACAGAAGCATGGAGGATGAAACAGAAGGGGAGGAAAGTGGATGAGCCAATGAATTTACAATTTTGAAATGTAACAGAATTGAATGCTAGGGATAGAGTCCCTTCATAAAAAAAAAAAGGGCCCCAAGATATTTAATTGCAGGAACTGCAGGAATAGGCTGGAATTAATTTGACAGTGTCGGTAATGCATGACTGGAATGATGGTTGGACATGACCGTGATGTTGGCCACATTAGTATTGATGGACAATTACATCTATTGGGGATTTGCCATGGCAGGGTTGTCTTACAAGATGTTAATGAAGTCGTATTACTTATGCAAAGTGGAAAGCTGGAAGTTTTTTTTTTTTTTTTTTTTTCCTGGGTTTAATATTCTTAGAAGGGAGGCAAGTAAATCATTTGAATGGTTGGTCTGTTTTGGTGTTTAATATTTTCATCATATTGACTTGGGCATTTGAACTTTGAATACTTGAAATATGGTATAGTATGCTCCTCCATATTGGTGATACATATTTTTTTTAGCCTTGGTGATTCATATTCTGTTGTGCAAAATTAGTGGCGGCCGATCTAAATCCAATGTTGTTTATGCTAACAGAGTTCCCTTCAGCAGGGGTACTAGTTTATAGTCATCTCTCTCTCTCTCTCTATATATATATATAGTACTGCATATCTCTCTGTGCTGAATCCATGTATTTCTCCCTCTAATGGTTAAGATGCTTGAATTTATTTTTGTTGTGATGATTGAAGTTATCCTTTTAGCAACTTTAGCTACCATTAAAGATGTTGGTGTGAACCTGTGCTATGCATGGAGTTGAAGTAGGTGCCTATGTTTGGTTTTTTATATTTTGATTTTAAATTATGAAACAACTTGACATATAACTAAAATGATTCGTATCTTTGTACACTTAAAATAACCATAAGAGATTTTTCCTCTGGTAACCTTTTTATAATAAGGTGAATAACCCATTCACGGTTAACTAGTAGTTTTGGTTTATTCTGACTACTTTTCCAGTGCTCCCTTATTACTTTATTAGGCCGTTGTTGGATATCTCTGCAACATGCTGTATTTTCATTTCTTTTTTCTGAAAACCAGGATTGATGAAAGCAAATAAGGTATTATTCTGTTAAACAATCTTTAGTGAGGAAACCTTTCGAATATCTTCTTTACTACTCATGATCTTGTCCATCAATTTTAGGAGATGATTTTGTTTCTTCCTGATACTCCACCTTTTGAGACAATAATGTTTCCCTCACTCCATATAGTCCTTGACATGGCAACAGAACACACTGAAATTTTGCCTGCTTCACAAAAGTTTTTTGTCCACCAAAATCTGATGAGACTAAAATGCATAGCTTGTTTTATTTGAGATCTCCCACATTGGATATTATTGTAATTTCTGAAGCTCCATGTTTAGTAGGTTTCAGCCTAAAATACCATTACAAAGGAAAGAATGAATCCCCTTCATTATATGTTTTTCTCTCTTAAGATGACAAGAGTCTTAATGTCAATCTTCTGGTGCTTTTGATTTCAATATTTAGTGATTTATTTGACTTGTTTGAGGCTCGCTTTGCTTAGAGTGGGATGAGGACTTTGAGCCAAACAGCATCTTGTGGATCCTTGATTAGTGACAATGGTTTGCGGAGAACTTGCTACTTGTTTTGGTGCCCACTGTAGATAGAAGATGCCTTATTGTTTATTATGTCTGATTGTGTTGGAAAAAGGGTCATCACTCGTGCCTAATAACTTGATTGTGGAACTCTCCTATTGAACGTACATATGAAACTTTTGATCTGATATTATTTACCAAGTCTGCAATGGGAGGCTGCAATTGGGTAAAGATCTCCCCCATCTCAAGCATTGCCTTCCTCGACAAATTAGCATGCAGGTAATGACATGGAGGAAGGGTTGACAAGGGGTGATGGCAATGTAATATATCTATGCTAGGAAATACGCTTATAATTTGTAGATGTCACAATTGGATAGTTGCTGTGCCTATACCATTTATTAGCCATTTTGGATAGGCCTTATGTTGAGTGAAATGGCTATGAAATGCTGGAATTTAGTTCAAAACTCTTTGGAACTGTATGTAATTTATTGTGGTAATATTACGAGGATGAATGTAGAATTTGATGAACTCGTAGCTTTGCCTTGAACCTGGGAAAAACATTTTCGTGCTGTGCATGGGAGTTTCACTAAAACTCCCTCAAAATTGGTTGATGACACTGTTTAACACCATTTTTTTTTTTTTTTTTTTGAACTTTTTTTATAAAAGTCACTGTACCTTGAAGACTTCTTTAGGCAAAAAAAAAAAAAGAAAAAAAAGAAAAAGAAAAAGGGGAGAAAATTCAAATTTTTGTTTTTGTTTTCATTTTTTTATTATTTTAAATTCATATCGTATTGTATTGTTTTAATTTTATAATCCATAAAAAATATTGTATTGTTTATTTTTTTTATATGAAATAGCCGTTAGAAATATAATCATTAGTAAAACGTAAAAAATAAAATTTTATTAAAATTTTTAAAAATATTAATATTTTTGGATAGCAAAAACGCTTTGGCTCTCTCTAAAACTCACTCCCCTCTCTCTCTCTCAAACACAATTTTTGTAATTTTAAAGGGTATTTTCATAAATAAAAAAATTATTTATAGTTTTAATTTAACATTAAATATCAAGGTTAAATTTGTCATTTAACAGTCTGATTAATGAGTTCAATATAAATATTTGGGTAATGTGATAACTTTTTTAAAATATTGGAGTTTTTAGATTAGAATTTTATAATCAAAATTTAATAATAGTGGAGGTTTTATGATTTTAAGCCTAACTTTGTTTGTTTGAATACATATGAGATGAATACCTATGAGAGAAAATAAAAGAAATGATAATATTAGTTATGAGAAAAAATAAAATAAAAGAAATGATAGCAATAATTTATATTTATTTCGAAAGAAAAGAAATAATAATATTTTTGTTTGGATATGATCAAGGAGAGAAAAAGAAAAGAAATAATAACAACCAAATTACTATCATATCATTTTAAATAGAAGGGGGTATGAGTGAAATAATAATTTTCTCTTTTTAAGTATTGAGGACACTTTTAAAATTATGAAAATACTATTTAAATAGTATTTATCTTCTAATTTTTAGAGAGATAGAAAATGAGGAATAAAGTATCCTTATCATTTCTACTTCTGTTCCAAATCAGATGTGCTGTTTGAGAAACGTGTGAGTCATGATTTTTTAAACAGGACATCTTTTTTTAGAAAAGAGGGAATATTTCATTTTAAATCATCCAAATACACGTAAGTCTTATTATTTTTTTTCTTTTTTTTTTTCTTACGGCGCTATAAATAATATGAGTAATTACAATAAAAAGGAAAGCCCAATAAACCACACATTTTTGGAAACCCCAGACCCAACCTTAATCCAAAAGGCCTTAAACCACAAACTCTAGTTTTTTTTTTTTTTTTTTTTTTTTTTTTTGTTGAGTAGGCCCAGGCCTACGAGTTACATGAGCACTACTTAAATCCTCATTAGGATGATCATCACTAGCTATGTACATTAATAATAAATTATTATTTATGTAATTTAATAAGTGAGTATTTTTTTGCTATATTAAAATTAATAATTAAAAATAATATGCCTATTTATTCTTGGTACATGAGTCAGAATGCTCCGGGGACCCAAGTATTGTTCGAGCACAAAATTCTTGGTACACATCACTGAGTAAGGATGATCCGGGGACCTAAGTATTGTTCGAGCACAAAACCACGAACCCTAGTTTTTCTAGATAAGTACCACAGACTCTAGTTTTCTGGCCTCTCGTTGCTGCGAAGGTGAGAAACAATCGACTCGAAAAAGTGTTTTAAAACCTTTCCGGTAAGTCTTCATCAATCTGATTTCTCCTTTTGTTTTGGCAGATTCATTTGAGGATTTTCCTGGAAAATTTTCGTCGGAGCTGACCGGTAAGTGAGTAATTTCGCAGCCACTGCTTTGAATCTGAACGTCATTTCGCTTGTTTTATTAGATCCGTTGCGATATTTCGTATTCGCTTGTTCTGTTTGGGTAATGAAATTTCATAGGAAAAGGAAATGAACTCAAGTTTTCATTTTATTTTCTTCGTTTTTCGGGAATTGTGAAAGGAAAAATTTGGACTTAGAGTGCAAAACGCTTAACTCTTGGAAATTTTGTAAATAAATTTTATTTGTCTCAAAATTCATAGAAATTTTCAACTGGCCACCCCAATTTTTTTTTTTTAAAAGGTTTATTTATTGACTTCAATCATAGAGAGTTTGGAAATAAGTATAATTTTATTTTTCAAAATTCATAATTTTTTTAATTAAACTAAAAGCTTTTACTTATGAACGCTTTTACTTATGAAACGAAAACGTAACATTTACTACATTTACATATATTATACATATATATTATTAGTTATATGATATTTAATAAAATACATGAACCCCTCTGTATAAGACTTTTTTATTAGATTGTGTTAACAAGAAAAATATTTAAAATTATATATTCATCTCCAATGGCGAGTCTTTAGAGAACCAAAAATTAAAAAAGAAAAACTAAAGTGTTAAAAATACCAAGATATAAAAAATGTCAAATATCAACTATTTTAATATTTTTTTTAGTTATTCTTGCTATTATATTAGTTATTGAAGCGTTTCTATATTTTTTTCCTAATAATTATGTCAAAATTTGAGTTATTTTGTGTTTTTTTATAGTGGTATACCTTTTTTTTTTGTTAATCTAACAATGATATATTTACTCTATTTTTTCCTAAACATATTTTTTTCTTCGCCATTTCTCATCGCTCATATTAATTTATATTAGTTTTCTTCACAAATTTAAATTCATGGCTCCACCCTAGCCGTTAGAGTTGCTCTTAAATCAATAAAACTATGACACAAGCACTATTTTATGGATAGCAAAGTTTGGTTGAATATTTGAGAAAATTATATTTTAGAGACCAAATCTAAACAAAATTGCTCTATATTGTCTATAAAGTCAAAAAAAAAAAAAGATAAATAATAACCAAATCTAAAACTTTAATGCTAATCAGTGACCATTTGGTATTGTATTACGTAAATGCAGTTAGATAAATTTACATTTTTTTTGTTTTTTTCTCTCCGTAGCTCAAGAAAAAAATTTCACGGCGTGTTTCCTATTATTAAAGTGTAGGCGTCGTTCTAAAGAATTGATTGTGTGCTAGTTTTAATAAAATAACATAAAAGAATTGGATATATGTTTAAAGAGCGAAACTATTGAATGGAGGGGATATTGAATAGAGAATCAGAGATGGTGGTAGCGTTCCAGTGACATAACATATGACTAGAACCTGCTTAATTTCCGAAAAAAAAAAAAAAGAAAGAAGGAAACTGTCAGCAGCGGTGTAAACTTGTCACATAACCCTAATCTCTCCGATCAGATTAGATTATTCAACTTTGGTAGTGTTAAGAGAGAATTGGGAGAGATATGGAGGGTAACTTTGTCTAAATAAATTATTTTATTATTTGTAAGTGAATTGATTGACAATTATTCTTGGGAGGTCACTTATTAGCTATTAAATTTTAAATTTTAAATTTATTCACTATTCTATGTTTTTTTTATTTTTTGTTTTGTGATTATCATAAGGCAATTTTATTTAAGTTAGGTCCCTAAAATCTGATTTCCGTTGATATTTCTTCATTTCCGGATTTGGGCAGCTGTAATTGGGTGTGTTTTAGGGTAAAATTGGAAAATCAGTTGACAAAAACTTTCTATTGAATACTCTCTGTAAACCTAAAATTGGGTCCCAAGAAAGCTAGGTGGCTCCAAGACACTTGGCTATATATTTGCAATCTTCTTCATTTTTCCTTGGTACTCATCTCATTTCTCGATTTCAAGGGATGGGGTTCATTAACCTTCAATTGTAAAACACGCATACTCTCTCTTTCTCTCTCAATGGGAGACTCATCGTCGCCAAGGAGTAGCCTATAGCCGTGCCACCAGACAATCTGGGTTGCAATAAGAGTGATGGTAATTTATGGAGGTGCAAAGGTAGGGGATCCATGAGAAGATCATTTGCGAAAAGCAGTATTTTCAATCTCTTCAAAACAACTCTTTGCAGAAATCTAAACAAAAGTCCACTATTTCTGTTTCTGTTTCTACGAAACTGTCGGCAGTGGTGTGACAAAGATTCGATGATACCACATGTTCTATTGCAGCAACAATTGCAGAGCCTGGTTGATTTTCATAGTAGCTGTCTGAATTGTTCCTATGATCTTTGTCTGACTTGTTGCCGGGAAATTCAGAACGGATGCTTGCGAGTAGGTGGCGATGAAATTTGTTTGCAATATTCTGACCTGGGAAAATCTTCCTTGCATGGATGAAAACCTCTCCCTTTGCCTTTGGATCACAAAGTTTATTTTAGTTCTTCCATCAAGTCTAGTTAGAGGATAAAAGAGGTCAATTTCTGAGTGGAAATCAAAGAAAACTAGTGTCATCCCTTACCCACCAAAGGAATGGACGGTTGTAGTCATGATCGTTTGGAGCTGTAGTGTATGTTCCCAAAAAACTGAGTCTCAGGGTTGAAGAAGAAAGTAGAAAAAATTGTTGAAGCCCATGAACCTGCAGAATTTCTGCTAGGATGCTCACGTTTTAAACCAAATGGCGAGATTGACATTGGTCATTGGAAACTGCAGAAATCTCCTTTTAGAAAAGATTATGAAGACAGCTACTTGTACTGTGCTCAAGTGATATCTAGCATTTCAAGAGACATTGGATCAGGGGAGAGCTAGTCTCGCCGGTAGTTTCATCTATTTTTTCTACTTTATTCTTCAACTCAGACACCCACTTTTTGGCTCCAAATGATCATGACCGCAACCATCCATTTCCTTTGGCAGGCAAGGTATGACACCAGTTTCCTTTGCTTTCCTCTCTGAAATTGGCCTTTTTTTATCCTCTGAATTAGACTCAATGGAAGAACTCAAAGAACCTTTCTGATCCGAAGGCAAAGGGAGAGATTTCCTTCCATGCTAGTAAGATTTTTCCCGGTCAAAATATTGCACACCAATCGAAAGTGTTGAAAGATGATGCTGATGATGCTCCTTTATTTTAGGGATTAGATTGAATGGGGAAAATTAGGAGCAGATTGTAAGACAAATTGATTGCTGTAAATTAGGGCCGTTGTTGGATATCTCTGCGACATGCTGTATTTTCATTTCTTTTTTGTGAAAACCAGGATTGGTGAAAGCAAATATGGTATTATTCTGTTAAACAATCTTTAGTGAGGAAACCTTTCGAATATCTTCTTTACTTTCAACTCATGATCTTGTCCATCAATTGTAGGAGATGATTTTGCTTCTTCCTGATACTTCGCCTTTTGAGACAATAATGTTTCCCTCACTCCATGTAGTCCTCGACGTCCTTGACATGGCAATAGAACACACTGAAATTTTGCCTGCTTCACAAAAGCATTTTGTCCACCATAATCTGATGAGACCCAAATGCATAGCTTGTTTTATTTGAGATCTCCCACAATGGATATTACGGAGTATTGTAATTTCTGAAGCTGCATGTTTAGTAGGTTTGAGCCTAAAATACCATTGCGAAGGAAATAATGAATACCCTTCATTAAATGTTTAATTTCTTAATGTCAAGCTTCTAGTGCTTTTGAGTTCAATATTTAGTGATTTATTTGACTTTTTTGAGGCTCGCTTTGAGTGGGATGAGGACTTTCAGCCAAACATTATCTTGTGGATCCTTGATTTGTGATAATGGTTTGCGGAGAACTTGCTACTTGTTTTGGTGCCCACTTTAGATAGAAGAAGCCTTATTGTTTATTATGTCTGATTGTCTTGGAAAAGGGTTATAACTCGTGCTTAATAACTTGATTGTGGAACTCGCCTATTGAATGTGCATATGAAACTTTTGATCTGATATTATGTATCAAGTCTGCAATGGGAGGCTGCAATTGGGGATCTCCCCCATCTCAAGCACTGCCTTCCTCGACAAATTAGCATGCAGGTAGTGACATGGAGGAAGGGTTGAAAAGGGGGGTTGGCAATGTAATATATCTATGCTCGGAGATATGCTTATAATTTGTAGACGTCACAATTGGATAGTTGATGTGCCTATACCATTCATTAGCGATTTTGGATAGGCCTTATGTTGAGTGAAATTGCTGTGAAATGCTGGAATTTAGTTCAAAACTCTTTGGATATGTAGCATATAAACTTATTGTGGTAATACTACGAGTATGTGTGTACAATTTGATGAACTCGTAGCTTTGCCTTTTTACATGGGAAGAAGATTTTCGTGCTGTGCATGGGAGCTTTACTAAAACTCCCTCAAAATAGGGTTTTACACTTGCAAGCCCCTTGCAGGGGTCTTATACCATTCAGGCTCTTGCAGTCTTCCCCCTAAACCCCCAGTGCCAAAAAAGCGCGCCCACACTCACGCACGCACGCATGCACGCACATACCAAAGTGAAAAAAGAGCAGTTGTTTTTCAGTTACTTAATCTGATGTTTGTTTTGAATTGTTGAGTTTTATATAGAAAAGCTTGAGCCTTCGCAATGGCCACATCAACCCTATCCCTCTGATCATGACCCTTTCGGAGTTTTTGCTTGGGAGCTTCAATATCACCTTCCATTATTTTAATTTCAGAACTGGACTTCTTCCTCTTCCTGCTGGTTGATGATACTGTTCAACACCATTTAACACAACAACTTTATACAAATGAGTTTAATTAATATTAATATATAGTAGTAATAAATAAGAATAAGAAGTGACCTTGTGTAGTAGCAGTTGAAGAGGGTGGGGGACAAAGAGTTTGGGTTGGCATTCAAGTTATGGGATTCAAGTAGAAAGGTGAAGGACTTGAGCTCTAGCATTAGATAGACAAACCTATTTGGGTGCTGGGCTTCTAAGTATATGTAACTCTTCTTTTACTTGTTATGCATCCTTAAAAATCA